TCTATACACTATAAAATGTATAATAATATCTTTACAATCTCAGGATAGGAAAAGATTTATTAAAAAATACACAAAACCACATGGCCTAGGTGTGTTTTTCAACTAAAATTCAAACTTTCTGGAGGACAAGTGACATCATAAACAAAATTAAAAGATAATTAACAGACTAGAAGATTATATTTCTAACATAAAACAAAGGGTTGGTATCTAGAATATATAGAAAAGGTCTACAAAAAAATACAGGAGGAAAAAAGACAGCTGAATAGAAAAATGGGCAAAGAAAATGATGAGGCAATTTATAAAAGAGGAAATCTAAGTGAACAACAAATATACGAAAAATGTAAATTAAAATGAGCTAATATTTCTTATTAATCAGATTCACAAAAATGTATGAGTCTGATAATATAAAGTGTTGTCAAAGATGTTAAAAAAAAAGGATCTCTCATATACTGCTAGTGGGAATACAAACAACTATTTTGAAGAGCAATTTGATGATATCTGCTCAAGATGTGCATATCCTATGACTCTGCAATTCCACTTCTAGATGCATACTCTATAGAAGCTTTCATACGTGCAAAAATGCAGGCGTGTATAAAGATGTTAATAGCAGTACAAATAGCAAAATAACCAGAAACAATTTTAAGTCCATGAATAAATAAATAAATGATATTTGGCATAATCACATGCTATAAAACTATGTAGCAATTTAAAATTAGGATGATAAAGATCTGTATACCTGCATAAATAAAACACAAAACATAATTTCCTGTAAACAGTAGGAAATAATTCATGTAAATATTTAAAAGTACCAACTAGCAAATGCATTAAAAACTGAATTAGAAAGATACACTAAATTCACAATAATTGTCATCTTCTATAGAATGGAACACTATAGGAGATAAAAGACTTTCCTATTATCTGTAATTTTTATTGCCTTTATTAAAAAGGAATTAAAAGCAAGTGGGACATAATGTTAGTAACTGTCAATTCTGCATGAGTTGATATATGTACATTTGTTCTTATTCTTTGTATTTTTATATATATTAGCCACTACTCAAAAAGTATAACAAAAAAGAAAATACAAAGAAGTATATAAGAGACAAGGGCATCAGTTATGAGGCTGCTGCAATATTCTAAGATAAGGTTGTGTGTTATAAAATAGGATATACTCCAGTGGGGACAGAAGGAGACAGATACATGAGCTCTTAAGAAGATGGGCTCCCACGGCTGCTTGAATGTAATGATAAGAGAAGCTGTTTCCTCATCCATAATACTGTGCTTGGCATGTAATGAGTTCTTAATGTTTGCTGAATCCTGTGGATGACATTAGCACTTTTCCCAGTTATAAGTCATCCATGAAGTGTGAGCTTAGAGGAAGGGAGGTAATGATGGGAAAAGATAAAAGGCACTACCTATTATCTCAGAAAAGAACTTCAAAGAATTAATTTCTTCAAAGGTGGCCCCAACAAAGTAGTTAATTCAGAAGTTTCTTCTAAATGCTAGAAAACCTTTAGAGGGAACTATTCATCTTCTGCAGGGAAAGTCTTTGGCAGACCATCTCAGCAATGCTCTCCTTAGCCAGAGATTCTTAGTCAAAAACTGCCTCTTCCATGTCTTACATTGAAGGAAAAGAATGATTGAATAAGTTAAGGGGGGGTTTCAAGATCCTAACTCAATCTTACTGTCTTACAGTGTTGCCTGGGAGACAAGGATGGGAACTATGACCTCAGCATGCAGAAGACTAGAGTCACTGCCATATGTGGTCAAAAACGAATCAACCCAAAGGACTGAACCAGTTGCAGAGGAAAGGAAAATGGCTAAGGAGAGCAGACATTATGGTAGAGTTCATTAAAAAACTAGATCTGACCAATTCCATATCCCTACTAGAACATGACTTCTATAATAGAGAGGAACAACAGTTCCTCTCCAAATCTACCACCTCAGTGCCAGAACATCCACTGTCCTATGGACTGGGGACTCCTAGTGCCCCAGAGTTTTACTGGGGTTCTACTAGTCACAGAGGGGTCTCATACTGACCTGGGGATTTAGAGTTGACAACGGAGTTTGCCTTAGGAGTGTTCTAGAAGAGGATTCACCCTTGAGTGGCAACACTAGGACCCAAGATTTTCTGATCTGTAATCTAATGTGTAAATGAATAATCTGCTCTTACGTGTTGTTGCTCACTGGTTATTGTAAGCAGAAAACTATAGAACAGGCCCACAAAGACACAAGCTGATCTCTGGGAACCCTATTCTATAGCAGGTATTGGTGGTAGCTGCATTAGTCAAAGAAGTGAGAATATCAGGGTCAATTTCCAGAGTCCTCCTATCCTATTTTCTATGCCAGTCCAGAGGCAACTGAGAGGTCCAATGAGCCTCTCTTCCTCCTCCCACTCTACCCCCACTCCCCACAGAGGGCTGGCATCCACCTCTGGAGAGCAGGTTCTGGCATATAGCCCCACAGGTCGCAGGTTTATTGTCAGATCCCCTCCTCTAATGACCAATGTGACAGGGAAACACCAGCCAGGTGACCCTCCATGTGTTCAGAGAGCTCCTATAATGTTGGACTGGGGCCTGGGAGACGAACAAAGGAACTTTTCTAGAGACAAAATCAATGATATTCCCCTTAGCTCTTTGTCTGTAAAATGGGGGAAATAATTGTGCCTACTGCAAATGCATGTTGTGAGACTGGGCTTAGCACAGTGCCAGCACATAGGAAACCCCATGGGACTGTTAGCCATCACTATCATTCAGAGACTTCCCTGACTCCCCCAGGAAGAGAGAGAGGCCCCTTCCTCTGTGATCCCACCATATCTGGTACTGACCTGAGTCAACGCAGTGACTTTAATAGCCTTCCAAAAAATGTTTGGATCACAGTGTCCACCAGACAGTGAGCTCCTTGATGGCAGCAAGGGTCTTATATTGTCTTTGTAGCCTCACCACAGGGTCAGGTGCAAAGGAGATTTAAATCAGTTCTGCTACAAAGTTGGTTTTCAAATGCAAATTTGTTCCAACCAACATATGTATGAGGGAATGAGCACAATGCGAATTTTGTTTTTGCTCATGTGTGATTCCATCTGCGAGAAACAAGGCGAATGCAGAAAACTGCACTCAGCTGAACTGAGCCTCGTAGGAAAACCCAGCATGAACACATGCACACATGCAAACATCTATCAGCTGCATCAGTTCACCACTTCTATTATGAGCCACACCATCCACATCTGGTGTTACAATATTCCACCCAATTTCAGAGTAATCTTTCCTTCTACTACTTCACAGTAATTCCCAAGCTGCTTCCAACACTCACTTCCACAAGGAAAATTCCAGATCTTTTTCAAGGTAAAGTGTCATTTTTATTGGTGCATCCATATACTTTCTATTTAACATGTGTAAAACTGTGCTACCATTTTTATTAAGTTCCTATCCTTTTTCAAATGTGTCATTGATGAAGTTCTTAATGTTGTGCCCCTACTCCCATTTTTCCCATAGGTCCTCTGGTTTTGTTGTATTATCTTGCATAGTATAGTGATTTTCAGGATATATCTTCTTGTAGCAGAATCATACTCAGTGGACTTGTGGTGGATGGTGACTCTTTCTGATTTCCATGGATACCTAACAGTCCTGAAGCTGTAGGAGACCCTGTTAGTCAGCAAATGCTATTTGGGCCAGCAGTGTCCCACAATTAAAAGCCACAAATATTCATTTATAGACAACTACCTGCCAGACATTGTGATGAGCAGTGGAGATACTGTGGCTAATAAGAAGCACTCCCTGTAACTCTTTCAGTCTAGTTGGGGAGAGAGGGACAAGTAATTACAACAGAGAAGGAATAAAGCTATTAAAGAATAAAGAAAGTGAGGTCTTTTCTCCAGACTTCAGAGTCAGTAAAGACCTCACAGAGGAAGTGTTGCTCTTTCCCAGGTCTCTCCACTCCCATAAGTCAGTCTCTTTCCTTGTTGCCTGCATCTCTGCCTTACTCTACTCCCTGAGTTAATGAGCCTATCATCGCTGAGTAAAGAGGCAGAACAGGGAAGAGTTAATGTGGCACAGGTGGGAGGGGGAAGGGCCCTGAGGGAAGGTAGAACAGCCACATAAAGGGCCCCACAGGCACTGGTCAAGGGAAGAGAAGCTGCATGTTCAACACACAGTGCTCAGGATCTTTCCCCAGCCAAGTCTTCTGCTGGTGCTTTCTTCCTCCTTCATTTATCCATTCAACATTTATTAAGCTTCTGTCATGGGCGAGATTCTGGGAGGCATCGGTCCCATTCTCCCTGCATCCTCCAACATCAGAGATGTTTCTTCCTCATATAGCTGCTACTCTGGGTTAAATGGCATTTCCTCCCCGTCTGTCACCTCCATTCTCTCTGGCACCCAGGAATGAGACTCTAGTGGGACCCCCTTCTGAGTCGTGAAGAAGGAAAAGAGACAGACAAGTTCCTTTTTCTGCTGCCATCTCTCTTTCTCCGATGGTTCCCAGGCCCAACTTTAATTCTTCAGCCAGCGTTCAAGTTCACTACTTCAGCATCAAGTTAAGAATAATGTAAGCATCCCACCCTCAAAGACCCACCAGGTTTTCTCCTGTCACATCAGACTTCCAGCTTCACACTAGGTCCCATGTGCCTCTCCCTCCTGTTTCTCCCTTTCTCTCTACTCTCTTCCTTTCTTCTTGGAGGGTTGGTGCCCCAAATGTTAAAGCTGGGCAACACTTAAGATCATTGTGCCCATCCCCATTGGAGAGCTGAAGCTGAGGCCTGAAGTTGTGCCTAAGGACATGTAGTCAGGAACAGGACCAGCCTGAGGCCTGATCCCACCCAGCACTGGCTTTCTCCCCATCTACTGAGACTGAGACTGGACTCTACTTGGACCTTGAGGAAGAAAAACATTCATCTCAGCACCACTCAGCTGACCTCCAACTGGAGGGCTTCTGGCTGTACCAGCCACTGCAGCATTAAGCCCCCACTTCCTCACTACCACTGTCTCCCCATTTCCCCCCTACAACGGGCTTTCAGGTACAAAGGATTCTGTCATCCTAGCTAGGGTTGTGACCTTAATTATCCATCCAAACCCCAACCAAATCTTATAACCCTGTGATCCTCCCAGCCCTGCACTACCCAAAATCTCTCCCTTTGTTCTTCCCCTATCAGGAGCCATGCCTCCACGAGCCCTAAAGCTTTGCCCCCACCACAGGATGGCAGAAGCTCCACAGCCCAACTCCACCTTCCCACGCCCAAGCTTCTTCATAATGGCTGGCATTCCAGGGCTAGGGGATGCCCAGGCCTGGATGACATTGGTCTTCGGGCCCATGTATCTGCTGGCCTTGCTGGGCAATGGAGCAGTGCTGGCAGTGGTGCAGATAGACTCCACACTACACCAGCCCATGTTTCTACTCCTGGCCACACTGGCAGCCACAGACCTGAGCTTAGCCACATCTATAGCCCCAGGGTTGCTGGCCGTGCTGTGGCTTGGGCCCCAGCCTGTGCCATATGCTGCCTGCCTTGTGCAGATGTTCTTTGTTCATGCGCTGACTGCCGTGGAATCTGGTGTACTGCTGGCCATGGCTTGTGATCGTGCTGTAGCAGTAGGGCGTCCACTGCATTACCCTATTCTAGTCACCAAAGCCCGTGTGGGCTATGCAGTCCTGGTACTGGCACTGAAAGCTGTGGCTATTGTTGTGCCTTTCCCTCTGCTGGTGGCACAATTTGAGCACTTCCGAGCCAAGACCATAGACCACGCCTACTGTGCACACATGGCAGTGGCGGAGCTTGTAGTAGGTAACACATGGGCCAACAACTTGTACGGGCTGGCACTTTCCCTGGCCGTGTCAGGTGTAGATATTCTGGGCATCAGTGGCTCCTATGGGCTCATTGCTCATGCTGTGCTGCGGCTGCCTACCCGAGAGGCCCGTGCCAAGGCATTTGGTACATGTAGTTCCCACATCTGTGTCATTCTGGCCTTCTATGTGCCTGGTCTTTTCTCCTACCTCACACACCGCTTTGGTCGTCACACTGTCCCAAAGCCCGTGCATATCCTTCTAACATCTATTTGCTGCTGCCACCTGCCCTCAACCTTCTCATCTATGGGGCCCGCACCAAGCAGATCAGGGACCGGCTACTGGAAACTTTCACATTCAGAAAAGGCCAGTTCTAACAGGCAGTGAAAACAATGGAGCCTGGGGGTGGAGGTGAGGGGACATTCAAAGGAGAGTCTGGGGTCTAGAGGTATGGATTATGTCATCTTTGTCCCATTATCTGCATATGACTGTGATAACCACTCAATAGATATTTGCTGTGAAGCTTCTACTACGTGTACCACTGGCAGTTGTAGACTTTGGTCTAGCCATGTATCCTGCTTGGGATGAGGCAGGAAGCAGGGGACTACATGCTACCATGCGGGGAAAATAAGAAGAGATCAGGGAATTATCAGGGAATCATGGTACACAAGATTTAACTTAAAGAAACCTGCTCCCTCCCACCATCATTTTAACCTAAGTCTTCCCATGTTCCCATACAAAAGCTCCTCTACAGATCCTGGACCTGGGGGTCTGGGAAGAGTGACACTGCCTCTGGAGGCAAATGCTTAGTTAGGTACTTGCCTGGGATCACAGCCCTCTCTATTCCTGGAGCCAGATTCTGTTTTCAGCCTGTCCTTATGGAAGGAGTTATACAGGCATATCCCCCACCTTCTGAGAATCTGGATAATGTGCCCTGGGTCCCAATTTGGCCAGGGTACTGAACTTTAAGACACTGCCACTTCAGAGAACCCTCTTGGTCTCATATGTAATTGCTATCCTCCAACCCCCACTTTCCTGCCAGTCTTAAGAATTAATGGCTAGAACTTCTTTCCCTGAGCCTGCAGCTTCAGGGGTCAGGCGTCCAACTGAAAGAAATTTTGATATCCCAGAAAATAACCACTTCACGTGCTTGCCTGAGGTCCCAAGTCACTGTGGTCTCTTACCCATCTGCCCTTTTGTGCATCCTCAGCCAAGAATGTAGAATTCCCAAAAATAAAATCCTCATCAGCACCCCTATTTGTCCTGGCCAAAATCACTAAAAGCATATGATGTTGGTGCAATATGATGAAATAGGAATATTTCACACTGCTGTGGCTTCCAGAGAACAAAGATATTAAACAGGAAGTGCCAGGATGTTGCCCAACATGGGATGCACTTTCAGCTAAGACTCCACACAGAAAGGGACATTGCACAAAAGATCTTTCACACCAGTATAGAGTCCAGAAGGAGTATAATCTCAGAGAAAAGGCAGAGAAACACTGTTACGAGGTCAGAGAAAGCTGCATGCTGCACAGGCAGACACAAGTTCTCTGGGAAAATTATCATAACTGCAGATATTAGAGTTAGCCATGAAGACCTGAAGCCAGGTGTAATGCTGACCACTTAGCAGAGATAGCTGGACCAAGCACCATGGGATACCACACAGAAGAGGCTGCAGATCTGAAAAAGCTGGTGATGCCTTCTCCAGAGCCACATGGTCTTCATTAATAAGGAACTGAAGAGATAGCCCAGAAGCTCTACGTGGTTTTCAGAGGTGTTGTCACACTAAAGCCAAGTGGACAAGGAGGAAATCTACAGTTTTCCTTGAGTATGAGCTCAGTCATTCTCAAGACTAATCTTTTTCATGACATTCTGAGTTAAAAAGCCCTCCAGGCAATGATTTTGTGGATAACTGTGACAAAATTCTAATCCTAACAGGTCACAAGTCTTTAAGATGTCCATACCCTTCTCTCAGGGATTCCTCTTCAATAAATCCATCCCAACAAAATAGAGATGTGAACAAAGATGTATGCAGTAAGATATTTATTATAACATTATTATAAAGAAATATATTATAAAGAATTTATATGTGTGACAGTCCTGTGTCCCACATACACGCGCCACCAGTTTTTGCCTTTCCACTGTGGTACATGAAATAAGAAATCATGTGCAGCCAATGTTCATAAGCAATGAATTCTGTCACCCTCCCACCACAGGAAGCCTCTCTTCTAAGGCACCTTCACTACCTGGCTGTGCACAACTCCCCAAGGCAGCTGATTCATACCTATACATTGTTCATTGTAAGAACTTTCTTCCTTCAAGCCAAAGATCCACCCGCTTGGACATTTGTATTTTGCTTTGGAATGAGATTGCATTCATACCTACCATGTGGTGTGTTTAGAAGGCTTTACTGGCACTCTTACTCCTCACAACCACCTGAGAACAATTATAAACCCATAATCCCTTATCTACAATTCCAAAATAAAAAATCTCAGATGAAACAATAGTTTTTTCATAACTATGGCCCAAAACCTGACCTGAACCATCACAATTGTATTTCTTGTATTTATTTATTTCACTTAGTGTGAATATTCATAGAGTTAGCTGCAGAAATATTGATGTTTGATTATAGGCACTGCCCTGAATCTCACTAGGGTATTCCTTTATATATGATAAAGGCACTATTTTCCCTTTCTAAAATCTGAAAAGTTCTGAATTCCAAAATACATCTGTCCCTAAAGGTGTCAAATAAGGGATTAGGGACTTGTACGATTGTCCCTGCAGCCTGAAATAAGTGAAGAGACTTGTTGGGGCTCTTCATTACTTTAAACTCTTTGTTATCAACACTATTCTATATTGCCCTAGAGGTTCTTGCAGAGAACCTCATGTTCTCTGGATAATCAGCCCCCACCTGTTTATTCCCCTCATGCTCTCCACTCTCTTCACCCCTCAGATATGCTGCAGGAAATCTGCACCTCCCTCCCCATGGAGATCCCAGAACATGCCACACTGGAGGCAAACTAACAAGCAGGACATGGCCCAAACAGCCCAGCCCTTGGGCTCATCAACTCCACCCAGAACTCAGTCGTCATCTGTTTTCCTTCAGCAACTTTTAGTCTGACTCTATGAGCCAAAAGGAGAGACAGACTTACTTAATGTCAGGGTAGGGTAGTGTGAAATTTAGGGAGCCCAGAGAATCGTGGTAATCAGACAGCAAAAGAGAGAAAAGAGAAGGTATGGGCTTCTGGCAGAGGAGTTCATCGGTATTCAACTTCCCCTGTGAGCCCCCTCTATGAAAAATCCAAAAGAGATCCTCATCAAGTTTCACCAAAGTCCCATCTCCACACCTACCTCAGCCACCCCTTTTTCATTCTGGAACCCCCTTAGGATATGAACATGCATCATTCTCTGCCTCTGTTTATCAATAACTCTCATTGTCTCTGTACCTCTGCATCTCTGTCTCCTTGCACCATCAGCTTTGCCCTATGTCTGTATCTCTTGTCCTTGTGTATGTCTCTCTCTCTCTACCTTTGCCCTATGTCTGTATCTCTTGTCCTTGTGTATGTCTCTCTCTCTCTACCTTTGCCTACCTCACCCAGAATTCCTTTCTGGAGGGAGAAGAGGTGCTAACTATACTATACCAGGTGACCTCTCCTTGTTAACCATAATAAAAAAATGTGCTAAATGGGCATTAGGAGGAAGAGACTTGGTTTCACTTGTCTTAACAAGCAACTTGGGGTTTCTGATTTGGTCGATTGCAGCTCTCCTCTCATCCTGCCCACTTCTTTCTCATTACAACACTTTGCACTTCCATCTAGCATGCACCCCCTGCACCACACACTCAGGCGAGCAGAAAGAACATATTGGTTTCTCCCTTCATCAGAAGGAACTGCTGTTTAATGTTTAAAGATGGATTCAGGCAGACGTGGATTTGAATCCCAGATCCTCCATTAACTAACTGTATAACTCACATTAATTCATTTAACCTCTCTGAGCTTGTTAATTCACTTGTAAAACGGGGAAATAATAGTACAATCATGTCTTAGTATCCGTGGGGTATTGGATCCAGGAACCCCAGCAGATAGGAAAATACAAGAATGCTTAAGTCCCCTATATAGAATGGTGTAGTACAATGATTACAGTTGGCCCTCCATTTAACTGTGGATACAGAGGGCCGACTATACCTACTTTAGATGTTACTAAAAGGATTAACTAAGATAATGCATTCAAGTGTTTGGCACAGCCCCTAACACATAAGAGTTCAATAAATATTTGATATTATTTCCTCTCCTAGAGCAGAGGTCCATGCCCACTGTCAAAACTTTGCTCAAAGACCTGGCACCCACACCCTTAGCTCTGTCTAAGGAGACCTGCCCTCCCCTGAGCCCAGTGATATCTCCTTTGGGAACTTTTCTTGGCAACACTCTCTCCCACCACTGCAGGACCACTCCCCGTGCCCCATATTCATGCCACCTCAGCCAGCTCAGGCGATGGCCAACTTTGTGGGATACCTCTACATCCTGGGATGGGATGGGGGAAGGTGCGCCCCATACACAAAGAGGTCATTAGGCACACAGGAGACTCTCCAGAGGGACTTGAGAGAGGACTATTTGGACAGATAAGGGTCACAGTGGGAGAGTAGAAAGGCTCTCTAGAGTGGTTCTTCTCCAGGGAAAAACCACTCTTCTTCTCCAGCAAAACATCAGGTTGCGATCCCTTACAGAGACACAAGAAGAAATCACACATAGATCAGGGTTGTAAAAGGAGAGGACCCACTAGACACAGATTTGCCTAGGATAGGGGGTAGAGGATGAAGAAAAATTTCCTCAAATTTACCTGGGTAATTCTAGCTTCCTGAAAGTTCTTTCCAGTTACTAAGGTAACATTATCCCAATTAGACTACTCTCCACATTGTCACTGCTCAGCATGATACCCTCCTACACACACATGTGGTTTTCATTGCAATTGTAACCCACTCATTAATAATGGGTTTCAACCTAGGATGCACATTAGAATTGCCTCAGGAGCTTTTAGAAATTCTGATGCCCAGGCATACTACAGACCAACTGAATCAGAATCTCTGGAAGTAGGATCCAGGCATCAGTAATTTTTGAAGATCCCAGGTAAACCCAAAGTACATCCAAGGTGGAGAACCACCACTTTTTCTTGGTTTAAGTCCTGATCTATACTTCTCCCATGTCCTTCAGGACTCTGATCCAACCTCACAAAGGACTTATCTACAGGTGACAAACAGCAGAGCAAATTGCTTCCAGGAGGCTGCTGAAGGGAGGAGAGGCCTGATCCTGTTTCCTTACAAGAACTCAGACCAAGAACTACACACACACACACATATATATACAAACATACCCTAACAGATACCTGCATTTTCCCCCCCTAAATCAGAATGGATAGGTCACTCAAGAGTATGAACTCAGGCTATGGGTATAGTGAGGCTAGGAAAGTGACTGCCCTCTCCCTGCCCAAGGCCCCATCACCCAGCAGGAGCTTTATGACCTCATGCTATAGTAGGTCAGCGCCTAAGGCCTGGGTCCTCCCCTTCCTGGGCAGCTTGGGGTTCCTCCAGCAGCCACTGCCCTGCCTAACGCCTCCCACACCCCACCATGTTGGTTGGTACCCCCCACCTGCTGACACTGGATGAAGCTGATGCCACCTGGACCCTCATCAAGGATAAGGTAGGTAAAGTAAGAAGGTTAAACAGGAAGTAACAAAGTGTAACCTAGATGGGTCTGAGCAGCTTATCAGTAGGATGGAGTGGAAAGCCTGAAGACAATAATAACTAACATTTACTCAGTGCTTGTTTATGTACCAGGCACTGCACTAAGTGCTTTGCACAAACTGTCCAATTTAATCACAAGTGCAAAAACAGAAAGGTTCCTTGAAAGGCAACATATAAGGACTTACGAGAGCAGAGAGAAGTGCTAAAGTCAGGGGTAGGACTTAGGTCAGGAAGGCTTCCTGGAGAGAGTGACATTCTAGCGAGGCAAGTAGGAGTTATTCACACAGAGGGAAGAGGAATACCTAGCACATAAACAGTGCTTAATAAACACCTAAATGAGTTAATGAGCAGGTGGGTGGGTGAGTGAACAGCATACTAATTAAAGGTAAAGAATATGCAAAAGTCAGGAGAGGAAAAAGAAAAATATGTATTTGTGAACTACAAATAGTCTTCTAGGGCAGGGTTCAAAGTAGTAGTGGTGAAAATGAGGTCAAAGAGGTATAGGGACTGATCATGAAAGGCCTTTTAAGCTTTCTAAAGCTTCAACTTCCACAGAATGAGAAATTTCCGTTTTTAGCCAAATATGTAGATTTCAAGGACCAGGCAGATGTCAGCTTTATCTGAGTTGCTGGTATCTGACAAATCCCACCAAATCTAGATGGCCAAAAATTTCTGAAGTTAGAGAATTCAGGGATCTGAAGGAGAGTGAATTTAAAGCACTTACAGAAGAAGGCAGCCCACCAAGTTTAAAAGAACCATCCTGAAGTAGCGCCTACCAAACTCAAAGCAGCCTTAACGGCACATAGCTCCCATTCAAAACGAAGCGGCTGCTCACCACAAGTCAGCTTCCCAGGGAAGCAAAGACAGAAGAGCTAAGGTTGTCCCAACAATTAGAATAACTAGTTTCAGCATGTAAAAGGCTGGTCCTGTACTAGACCAATCAGAATTAGAGTGAAAGTAAATGGGATCTTCAACTATTAGAAAGCTACACTATCTCTGAGGATCAGAAAAACACCCTATGCTATTTAAATGGAAAATTGTCAGGAAAATCAGCGGAGAGACACACACAAGCTAAATCACTGGCAGTATGTGGCAAATTCAAGGAGTAGGACACCTTTGAGTGACCTGTTTTCCTCTCTCCAGAACTGCTGACAGTTTATTGGGCACTTTGTAGAACATTTGGCTAAATAGAATGTAGCTCAAGAGCTCCCTATTCAGAATTCAAACCAGCCAAGGTAGATCCAAGAAGTTCCACCATCACCTTTCTGGGCTGCCCCTGGGATAGCTAAATTTGCAGGCCTCTAAATTTCACAGAACTTCCACCGGGAAGTAAAAGTGCAGTGGGAACAGGTAGTGGTCTCAAACAGCAACTCTACCAAAAACATAGTCACCCTAGCATAGAACTGAGTACCTTATTTTTCCTATTTTAGGATAATCACTAGGGCCCTCAAGGGTAAGGAAGAGGACGTAATAAACCTCCATGGTAAATTCATATCAATATTCTGGGAAAGACTCTCCAGCTAAATCAGGAATTCACCTTTTAGCAGAAACTTGGACGATAAGAACCAGCTATTTTAAATGTCACACTCCTGTTAGAGGGACCTCTCCTGGAGATACTCCCATTTGTCTTATTTGTATAGGATCCTAGGCACCAAAGGAACAGCTACAGTAGGATTCTGAAGTTATGCTTGGTGACTATGCTTTCATTGTCATGGGGCAGAGCATTCTTTAAAAATAAAAGCCAACCCACCGGTGCTCTGCTCTCACCCCTGGAAACCCAATTGGCCCTTCTTAGAACTCTGTTCCTCAGCCTGATGCCCCACTCAAATGTAAGTGTTCCAAGTCTGAAGGAAGCAAAGGAGAAAGAATGATGGGAAATTCTTCCACACAGATCAAGAAAGAGCACCAGTTATTTCCCTGGCTGAGTGACAAAAGAGAGTAATCTTCAAGCTACCTCCACTTATCCAAAGTGCAGACATAACTCCATCAGTTAGCTACCCTCCTCTTATGGCAGGGGGCAGCACTTCCAAAATAGCTTTACGTAGCAAAAAGCAGATCAGCCTTAAGGCACCACTGGTGAATTCTACCAGAAGGCCAGCAAAGTGAGCAATGCCATCAGTAGGTGCACAGACATGTGGGACTAGGGGGTTGGGGGAGAGCAGAGTACACAGCATTTTAAGAATAGGGCTCTTAACGTGAATGGGGCCCAAAGAGGGAATTTTGTGTGCTACTTAGCAGAATGCAGAGCCAGAAGTCTCAGCCAACAATATCTTGGATGAGTCAGGATCAGGTCTAAGTGGAATTACTAGAGAGGATCTTACAGGGTTTCCCAGCTGATCATGAAATTAAACTTTGCGGAACTAGGTTACCAAGCCCAAAAAGGCCAAGACACAAGAAGGACAAAACCAAGAGGAACTGGAATCCCTAAAAGCATATTGGAACTAGCTTTACAGAGATGCGGCCTCAAGTCCCTTAAGGAACTATCCCCTGAAATTAGGGCTGAAGGTGTATACTAAGGCGTTATAGACAGTGTAAGAAGGGACATTTCAAACCTATTTCTGTGTGCCCAATCTTGGTTAATGACATCACCCATCTAACCAATCACCTAAGAATAATCCTTGGAGATTCCTTTTCCCACACCCCTTAAGTGACCAAGTTCTACTAATTCTATAACCTAAATATCTTCCCCCATTATTTTAGTTCAGAGCCTCACCATGTCTTGCCTGGAGTATTACAATACTCTTAACTGATTTTTCTCTTTCTCCTTATCTTATGCCTTCCTACTCAAAATTAGCTTTCTAAAATGTCTATCAGATCCTGCCCCTCCTAACCAGAGTTGTTCAAATGGCTTCCTGTTGTCCTCAAGATAAAATTCCCATAACTTAACATATATACAAGGCCTTTCATAGTCAAGTTCCTATGTGCCTGTTCCTCTTCACACCCTACATTTGAGAAACACAAAATTACGTGTTCATGAATATGCCCCTCTTAGTTTGTAAAGTTCAGGTTTTTCAGTGGCTGTTCCCTCTGCCTGGACCGACCATTCTCCTACCTGGTTAATTCCTTGAAACCTCAAGTATTACCACCTAGAAACCTTCTTAGATCCTCTTCTATCAAAGACAAAGGCTGTTAAATCACTTCTCATCTCCTCCACAGCTTGCTTTCTATTATTTTACTTGGCTGACTACTGTTTACGTTTTTGTCTCCTCCATTAGACTGAGCTACATAAGGAAAAAGATAAAGGTTCACTCCTTCATGTATTCCCAGTATCTAGCAGACTCTGGGACATAGTAAACATTCAAGATTTTGCTACAGGAGAGAACTGGAAGATAAGTATTAAGTACAGTCATGCGCCACATAATGATATTTCAGTCAACGACAGACTGCATATGTGATGGTGGTCCCATAAGGACTAGTACCATATAGCCTAGATGTGCAGTAGGCTATACCATCTAGGTTTGCGTAAGTATACTCTATGATGTTCACACAACAAAGCTGCCTAATGATGCATTTTGCAGAGTGTATTTCTGTTGTTAAGCGACGCATGACTGTGTAACAGTCTGAGCACATTGTGGAGATGTAATCAAACAGTGGGAGGGTCAATCTAGAGCAGGCTACCAGGTAACTCCTGACCCTAACTCAGTCTCTGACCTATAAATTGGCTACCTGCAGGTTATCGAAGAACGCTTTGGGTCCAATGTAGTGGCAGTACCTTTCCTGTCGGATGCAGCCTGCTATGACCTATTGGGTGTGCTAGTGAAGCAGTCCCGCCCAGCCCACTCCCGCCTGGCTTTGCCAGGTCGGCAGGGACGGCGGGCACTACAACCAGTGGGGCCTCTACCAAATCTCCTGGAGCAGGCAGGGTCTGAGGGTGCCTTTGCCCACTGCACTCGGGAATACTCACCAAACGGTCGAGCAGAGATAGCCTATGAAGAAATGCGACTGTTGGATGGGCAGCCCTGCCGGATCCGCCTACATATGGGCGGCCTGCGCAAGAGGGTGGCCTTCCTGCTGCTGCCACCAGGGCAGGTGAGCCTACAGCAGACTCTTCCCTGGCTCCGAAGCACCCACAGCATCTATGTCATCTACCAGGTCTTCTGCTGTTCCTGGCTGCAGCTAGGGGTGTTGCCTACAGCCCATGAGACCCAGCTACTCCGGTTACAACGGTCACTGCCTGTTGCCTTCTCCTGCCTCAAGTTTTCACTGAAGCCCAAGGGGGTGCTAGGACCACAAAAGCCCCTGACCAAAGACCCACTGCCCCATGGGGCCAAATGGGTCAGACCCAACCTCAGCATCATGCCATCTCTGGCCCCATCAGCCCCTACCGATACCCTCGAAGCTGCTGATGTGCCTCTACCTGTCCCAGCCCCACCTACACCACCTCCCCAGGAAGGGCCAGAGGGCAGACCCACCAGATTCTCCTACAAGGGCCGAAACCCATTCCGAAGGGGACCCCAGATGCTGTCAGGTACTGCTAGGAGAAATGAAGATGACAGGGATGGAACAAGGTGGAGGGAAAGAGCATGGGGAGTATAGCCCAGGAATGCGGGCTATGTGGGGCACCCATAACTCCACACTGGACCCTGGTGAGGAGGATGGAGTTAGCCAGGGGAGGATGAGATGGTCCTGGTGAGGGGGTGGGCAGAGCGTAGAGCACCAGAGGGAGGGACTAGGGAGGCAGAAAGCCCAGGGCATGAGTCAAGCTGTGACTATCCCCAACCCTGGCAGAGAACTGGCTCTTCAGCCCCCGCAGCCCTCCACCAGGAGTCCAGGGTGGGGGCCCCGGGGACCCCGACCGGCACTCCATGTCCCTGCCCCTGCTGCAGGGTCTGTCCTCGGAGTTCGACAGCGACGACTGAAGCTGAAGCGAGAGATGCAGGGGGTGAGACCCCTAAGATCTGGCATAGGGATACTGGTCCCCAATAAACATGAGCTGCTGTTCCCCCAAACTATCCTGGGCCCATGCTGCTTCTTCCTTCTGGGGTCTGGAGTGTCCCTACTTTTTTCCCTAGGCTTCACGTCTCCTCACTCTCTAAGGGGATAAGAAGCACCTTGAAACCTTTGCATCAATGTCTTCACCAGAGAGAAAATACCCCGACCACCTCCCCATCTACATACAACCTTCTTGGGGCCCCAGTCCCATAAAAAAGGGTGGGAAAGAAGAATGAGCACAGAATAGAGATTTCCCTTTTATACATATTGCAACAAGTTCTCCACAAAACATTCATCGGAAATAAATTAAAAAGTCCTCTTGCCACTGCCTCCAAACATAAAAAGGAGCCTGCACCCTGGCCCCAGCCCAGGCCACTCAAGGCTCTGATTGTCCATGGAAGAAAGTTAAGGATTGAGGGGCCCAAAGCCTGAGACGGGAGGGACAGATCCCTCCTCTGCAGTATCCAATAAGAAAGGCGAAGTGACAGCATGGGCCTGGGAGATGGCAGCCAACTCTTTGAGAAACTCAGGGAAAATGACTGCACAGTAGACAGCATTCTTGACTCGTAGAGCCTCACCTTGGCGCTCAGGGGCCCCACCCCGGGGGGGTAGAACCGGAGTTGAAGCCCCAGGGGAGCCCCCACCTAGGCCAAGTCCTGCGCCGTCTCTCCCAGGCTGAAGAACCGACTGTGCCGCCTGCCGGACCCTGGTTGGACTGTGTGCGTGCCGCAGGAGCAACTCCCCCAAGGATGGCCTCCGGCTCTTCACTGGGAACAAACAGGGGTATTATGAAGGGGCTGGGGTCGAGCAAACTCCCTTGTCTGGGAGAGATTTCCCCACCTCCTAGGTTCATGGACTTCTCCACTAGGACTCTAACACCAAAATGCTGCCTGCCCAGCCTTCTTCCCTCTATCCAGTCTCCCCAGCCAGCCAACTATTATCCTCAGTCTTTTCAGTCAGTCAACACTTCAGCCACTTCATTCCCATACAAGATCCCTTCCTTCTCCATGCCCCTTCAGCCTAAGGAATTCTCTCACTACTCCTTCCTCTCCATTCTACCATCACCTAGCTAATTCTCCTCAGTCCAAAACACGCCCTTATTTCTTGCTTTCCATCACCCTCTTGAATTAAGAGTCAATCACTTCTACGTTCCCCCTACCTATCTATAACACCTCACCCACAATACCCATAGGGGCTATATATGCAATCACATTTCAGTGACTTTATCATTTCTCTCATACCCCACTATCCCTCCAAGCTCTGCTCTCCTGTGCTACCACTTCACTTTCCACCAGTCCCCTTTCTATACCCACCGAAGTTACACTCCAACTGGTTGTGGCCAGACAACTTCATGTCAGCTTAGACTCAAATGAACCAGTTAAAATATTGCCCTCTCTCTAATTTTCTTCAAGATTCCTGCCTATAGACCTCAGTCCAATATCTAGGGCCTAGACTCTAGGGATCTAGTCTCTAGATCATGATACGGTTGCCATTCTCTACCTCCAATATTTGCTTCAGAGAGATACTAGACATATCTATTAAATTTGACATTCAGAACGCTTCACAACCAGACTTACCTCCTCTAAACTCTTCTCAAAATTCCCACCACCCTACCCTGCTTTTGCATCCACACCTCTCTGCTCTTCCTGGAACCCTCCAGGCTCTTTCCACACCCATTCTGCCTTAATTTTGCTCTTCCCACTGTTTTCATCCTCGGCCTAATTTCACCATCCCTACCTCTCCGAGAAACTTCTGATTTGCCCTCCACTGACTTCCCATTTTACCACCCTATCACATTGTATTTTAATAACTTGTTTACATGTCTTCTACCTCATATACTAATCTGAGAGCTTAAGGGCTCAGACTCTGATTTTTTACCTTTGTATCCCTGGGCCCTCCATAGTGAACACAGTACTAGGACTGTGGAAGCAAGAAATATTCGCAGTACTGGATCATGAGGAAATCATGCTAAGAACTCCAGGTGGGTCTTCACAGCTGTATAATAACCCTTCCAGTCCTCTCTTCCCAAACCATACACTTTCTCCTTAAGTCCCCATCTCACCTCTGCTGTCTTGCTCTCAGCATATTATTTTGCCTCCTACTTTGATTAGCAAATAAAAGATGACTTCAATTCCCTAACCTTCCCCTCCACACCTCACAACCCCATTGATACATATCATTTCCTCCCTTGATATCTCACTTGCCTCAAAAGGGGAAGAAACAACTCTTCCTGTCCAAAGTTAATCCCTTCCTGGTGTTCTGGATCCCACTACTTCCACCACCTCTGGGACCTTGCACTTTGGTTATAACATTCCTCTAGTCACGCTCTAGACTGCCAGCTCTTTGAAATTTGAGATCCACACATCTGTACTTCCCTGAGTCCCCTATACCAAAGACAATGCCTAGCATATATGGCAAGTGCTCAGATACTGGTTGATGAAAGCTTAAATTTAAAACTTCATGGTCATATTTAACTCTTCCTTCTTCCTTATACTCCACAACCACTTGCCAAATTCTGCCAATACTTCCTTTCCATTTCCACCTTATCATATTCTTCCTATTTCCACTATTCTAATTCAAGCCTTACAGGTCACATCTGCATTAGGGCAGAAGCCTCCTGACTGCTCTTCGTGATTCCATGTTCTCCTAGTTCCAATTCACCTAGCACATGAATTAACACACTAATCTCTCCACTCCCAGATCTAAGAACCACCAATGGTTTCTCACTGCCGAAAAAAAGGCACAACTTCTACTTTGAGAACCTTCTGCTCTGGCCAGACCTTTCCAGCCTTCCTGCCAACTGTTCCACCACCTTCCAAATCCCCTGCTCCAACTAAATAATTAATGCTGGCCCCTAAAAAAAAGAATAAAGCCATCCCACTCCTTTGTCCTACCCAATTCCTACCTATTTCTCAAGGCCCATGCCAAACGCCATGTCCTTAACCAAGCTGTAATAATATCTCAACCTAGAGACTACTCTGTCCCCTTGCCTATCCCCAACTCCTAGAGCAATTTTTGTGGGTACTGCTAATTTGGCTCTTATACATGGACAGAACTATGTTTTATCCTCTGACCAGAAGCCGGAGGACAAACACCAAGACTCAATTTTCTGTACTCCTCAGTTCCCAGCACAAGGCTTCACCCTTAGTAAGAGCTCAATTAACTTGGGTTAACTAGCTGTCTAAGGAGGGTAGGGAGAGGAGTGGTGGGGTAGGCCTCACCTAGGGGATCAGAGCGGCGGGGGGCAGGTCCTGCTGCAGGGCCCTCAGCCCAGTCCAACTTGCCACGGGCAATGAGGTACTTCTTGGCTTTGGATAGCAGTGCTGGGAAGTCCTCCTGGGAGGCCGCAAAGCTCTCAATCTTATTCTTCACAGAGCCCAGCACCTATGAAGCACAACATCATGACATTTCTGGGTGGCTCTAGACTGCCAAAGTCCTTTCTAGTCCCACTGGGCCTGTTCCCAGCACCCTCAAGGGCCGCTCCAACTGCGGGCCTGGCCCACCATGGAGCCTGGACGCACCCATGCATGCATGCATCGCACACCTGCAGCAGGGACTTGACACTGGGCTGGAAGACCATGTTGGTGTTGAGCAGGAAAGAGCGGAGCAGGGGCTGGGGGTGACAGGCCAGCTGGGCCACCAGCCCCGTCAGCAGGAAGTTGACATAGACGGAGTTCTGCAGCATGTTCTCAAGTTTGGCAAAGAGCACAGCCATGAAGGGGCCTGGGGGTTGGGCACAAGGATACAAGGCCTGAACACAATGCACAACGCACGCATTCCTCCCCAAACAAGAGATGCCCTCCCCCACTAGATGACAATTATTTGTATGTCAGTCTCTGAGTATATTTAAATATCTTGTGATCACCTATTCTACAGGAGATAAAATGGCAGACACCACACGGACCCACAAGAGTTCAGATGCCAGTTTCACACATGCTCAAGCTGAAGAGTCAGATTGTAGGCTCTGGAGTCGGACAGACCTAGTTTCATATTTCAACTTTACCCTTTACTAGTTAAGTTACTAGGTAAATCAAAACTCTCAGGCATAATTTCCTACTTGATAAAATAAGAAATATACCTACCTCATGAGGTTATTAAGAGAATCAAAGAGATATTGATATAAAGCATTTAGCCGCAGATCTAGCAAATTATTCAATAACAACTATAAGCTACATAATATTTCTCAGTTTTTTAAAAAGTTTCACCCAAGAGGCACAACAGAAGAAAGAACAAATAAGAAAGTGATTAGGACCAAAAGAAGAATCAGGTTACACCCAAGACAGAGGATAATACTAGACCCAGGTCAGAAAGAAAGCATAGCAAAAGTAAAGAAGGTGACTATATGGGCCAATTTAAGTTAGGAGAGAAATCTTTGGAGAACCAAAGAAGAAATCAGCTCTATTTAGGAGATGGGAACCAGGAAGGAAGAACAGAATCTATTGGAAAAAAAGAGTTTTTAATTCAGGGCCAGAGAAAACTGATTCGGGGCAGATTCTTTGATGAGGGGAGAAGACAACAGAAGGGATTTGAATGGTCTACTGGGAGAATTGGCCTCAACTGAGCCAGATCACCAGCACTAAGACTCTAGAACCATTACAGTCTGTCTAATCAGGGAGATCAGGGATTTGTGGGGGAAAGGGAGTGTACCTAAGATGTGCACTATGAATTGAGACAGGAGAACAACGAAGGGCAAGGGGCAATGAATCCTGAAAAAAATCTTAGAACATTCTCCATTCTAGATGGACATGACTATCCTTAGCTCCAAAACAACTCTAGCTTAACAGGGTCCTAAGATACCCCACAACTTTGTCCTCTGTTCCCTTCATTTTCTGGGACTTTCTTGCAAGAGAAAATTCAAAAAGCTCAGATGAGTTTACAAAGAAGAAAAAGGACAGAGCTTTAATTAATGCTTTAAGCATGTGGTAAAACCTGTACACCACCTTCTAGTGGTACTGAGCAGGAAGGAACATTGCAAAGGCTAAATAAATGGGAAGATATTTTCTGTAGTCTGCAAGAGGGAGTTGTCATGACTCCAGGGCAGAAATCCTGATGCTGTGCAAAACAGGATGGCAGCATATCCCAGGCCCAGTTAGGACATGTACTGATCAAGGCATGATAACTTGACTACAAACAATTGGAAGACGGGTGGTT